AGTGTCTAATCACTATGTTGTACACCTGAAACTAATATAATATTGTATGTCAACTATAATTAAAAAATAGAAAAGTAAAGAGAGAAATTATAGGAATAATAGAACTAGCAGACAAATACTTTAAAACAGGTATTATAAAAGCATTCAAAGATTTAAAAGAAAAATGAACTTAATAAGTAAGGAAAGTAGTGGAAATCTTTTAAATGAATCAAATAAAACCTCTAGGTAGTGAAACAATTCCCCGCACAGTTAGAGAGCAAGCAGGGTAGAAGGGCATCCGTCCACATGGAAGGATAACCTAGGATACAATATTGGAGCCTGAGAGGGACCAGGAGGGAATCCCTGTGTAAGAAACCAGGGGCCAAGTGGGCTGTGGAAAGGGCCATGGGGGTGGGGGTGGGGGTGAGGGAAATAGCACAGGGTAAAGAGCCCACACAGTGTAAAGAGGGCATCCCCAAAGAGGAGCCGCCAATGCATGGCTGCCAGAGCCTGATAGGGGAAAGAGTGCGTCTATGGAGGAAGGCACTCTGTGCAGGGTGTTTCATCCCAAACAAAGTTAGGAAGGCAAGTACATGGGGGGGAAACAACTGGCACAGGATGTCAGAGGCCAGGCAGTGTGAGAGGGGCCTCTCTGCAAGAGGGTGGCCTGCTAAGGGATGTCAAAGCCTAAGCAGGACGAAGATATTCACAAAGGGAGGGAGCAGGGGCAGCCATGCATGAGACTGTTTACACATGGGGGAGTGAGCAAATAAGTGCATGTAGTAATAATGAGAGCTGGGAGTCTCTTACTGGTGGAGGACATCGAAGATATGGAAAGGGAGAAAACTAGAAATGAGCCATGTGGTGCTCATTTGGAACTGGAAGTACCCACGTGCCATTGGATTTAGGTTTTCAGTACTTACAGTCTCTGGGTGTATCTACTGAGAAAGTATTACAGAAGCACTGCTCCCATGTTAATGAACACAAGTAGTGCTCAGATTTGGTTTCCATTACAATTTCCATTAAAAAGGACTCAGGGAATCCTGAAGAAATAACTTACCTAGTGGGGCAAGGACAAGATGTGGCTGGGACATCATGCTGTGCTACAAAGTAAGAAAGTGCTCAAAGGATGATGGCTGCCTGTCAAAAGGACACAGAAGCAACTTGAAAGACTCCCACTGTCCAAACTGGGAAAATCTGAACACCAAAATAAACAGTGATAGTAATGGATTATAGCCCATTGAGTCAATAGAAAGCTATGAGACCATGCTGATGTAAACAAACAGAATTTGGTGAGGAATGGGAATGTTTATATAATTTTAAAGTAACTACCCACAAAAAGCATGTCAATTACAAAGGCAGAAATTGAATAGAGGAGAAGCTTGGCAGACACCACATTAATCAAGTGATCAAAGTGAGCATCACCAATTACAGCAAATCCTACCCGTGCCACGGATAGGATGCAATGAGAAGAGCACAGCACGACAGCTGCGGTATTTCTAACAAAAATGCATCACCTGAAGACATGCTTGAGGAAACCTAAAATAAGCTTAAACTGAGACATTCTACAATAAAACTGGTTTAATCTTCATGTCAAGGTTATGAAAATCAAAGAAAGACTAAGGAATAGCTGTAGGCTGAACGAGACATAGCAATCAATTGTGTGTGACTCTGAAATAGATCCTTTTGCATTACTGGGACATTACTAGGACAAGTGGAGAACCCTGAATTAGGTCTGAGGATTTTACTGGCTGTCTGTAAACGAATGCCCTTCTTATTAGGAAATACACCAATAAAATTCAGGGGTGATGTTGCCACGCAGCTGTCCAGCCGTCTGTCCCCCCGCGCTTACCCCTAAACTGACCTTTTTGAGAACACTGCTCATACACCTTGCATCTCCCTGTTTGGCCCCAAAAGATGGCTGGTTAGCCAATGATAGGTAAGATTCCTTGAGAAAGGTACAAACTAAGACAGGCACAGTAGCATGGGGACCATCAGCAGAAATCTCGGGGCTGATGGAAGTGGGCATAGGTCCTCAACCACCCCCAAAGAGACTGGAGGTCTTCTACCTCTGTAGCTACATTCCTTTCCGCAACCTGCTTGGGAAGTGACCTGATGATGTGATAGTATCCGTCCTCAGCATAATAATCTTATCTCCCTGGGGTCTTACGCTTACGGGTGTGTGAAGTCAGAGCATTTGTCTGATCTCCGTGGGCAGACCTTCGGTAATAGCAGCTTGCACGCATGGGTAATCTGGCATGAGCAAGTTCTCAGGAATGAGACTCACAGGCTGTGGAGGGAACAATGCTACTTCCAGGTATGTGGAGAAATAAAAGCTACCTGTTGGCCCGATTCGGGGCTGTCAGTCCTGTGAGGCTGGACACCCTTGGCCTGGCTCTCATTTAACTCTTGGCTGCAGTTTCTTTTCTTTTTTAACCCTTTGCCGCCCCCTCTCGTTCTCTCACTGCCCTTGTCATGCGGGACGCCACAGGGTGATGGGGTATCATGTCAGCAACTTACCCTCAACTTGTTCAGGAAAAACAGTTCTTTGCAACTTTTATGTAAGTTTGAGATTGTTAAAAATATATATATATATACTGGGTAAAATATAATTGACTGTTTAAAGCAAAATTAAGTTACAGAGTTTATAAATACATAGAAATAAAATGCATAGCAATAATAGCATGAAGCACAGGAGAGGGAAAATGAAAGCATACTCTTGTTAGGTTCTTACATTATATGTGAAGTGATAGAAAACTATTTGAAGGCATAAACTGTGATAAGTTGAAACCGAATATTGTAAACCCTAGAGCAGCCACTGATAAAGTAAAAAAAGAAACATTAGCAATCAAAGGATAAGGACTTTAGGGGGTGACCGGTTAGCTCAGTTGGTTAGAGCATGGTGCTGATAACACCAAGGTTGCCAGTTCAATTCCCGCATGGGCCACTGTGAGCTGCACCATCTCTAGTCAACTATGCCATTGTAACATGAAAGTAATGTGTAACCAATTACCATGGCTGTTCCCCAATAAAAATTTTTTAAAAGGCATAGGAGTTCAAAGACAAGAAAAACAAAAAAACAAAAAAAACAACAGCTGCATAACTGAAGAAAGTGTGATATGGCTTAGAAAAAGAGCTAAGAATGACATACTAATAAGACACAAAAAGAGAAATAATTAGGACAAAAGCGACAGATTTTATTATATAAAGCTTTAAAATTTCTCTCATCAAAGACTCCACAGGCAAAATTAGAAGCAAACATCAAATGTGGGGGGGGAAAAATCTCAAATATATTCCAGTAAAGGGATCTTATTACCAATATATAAAGAGCTATTCCAAACTAGTAAAAAAATATAGGAATTCAAATTTTAAAAAAAATAATAGGGGCCGGCCGGGTAGCTCAGTTGGTTAGTGCGAGCTCTGAGCAACAGGGTTGCCTATTCGATTCCCACATGGGCCAGTGAGCTGCACCTGAGCTGAGCTGTTGCTGAGCTGTCACTGAGCTGCCAATGGGTGGCCGGATGGCTCAGCTGGTGAGAACGTGTGCTCTTAACAAAAAGATTGCCGGTTCGACTTTCACATGGAATGGAGGGCTGCTCCCCTCGCAACTAGATTGAAAACAGCGAGTGGACTTGGAGCTGAGCTTGTGCCTCCACAACTAAGATTGAAGGACAGCTTGACTTGGAGCTGATGGGTCCTGGAAAAACACAATGTTCCCTTCCCCAATTCCCCAATAAAATCTAAAAAAAAAAAAAAAAGAATAAGATATGAGCAGGCAATTTATAAAGAGGAAAAAATGGTAAAAAATATTCTTATCCTAACTGGATGCTATACATAAAGTACAAGATTAGATATAGATCTTGTCCCCCCCCCCAATTCTGTACATTTAGAATGGTGGATTTAATACGTGGGGTTTTATAATGTAAAGCTGCCATCACCCAGAATAAGGTGATATTTATGACTCTTCCATGATTTGTCACGCAGTCCCAAACATTTGAAATTACTTATCTATCAAAATAGGACAGAATATAACCTGTAGTTGGAATTATGACTTATTTTTCAGAGATCAGTTCAACGAGTTGTAAGATACAGATAAATGATTCCTGTTTTTATGAATTTACAATCTAAGGAAGAAAGATGATATGCATAAATATTTTAACTAATTGAAAGTTGCAATAAGAGAACCCCATTCACATTCCAGAGTGGAGGCATAACATTAAGATTAAAGGGTTAGGAATTAGAGATTAAAAGGTAAGTGCTGGGGTATCTAAAATCCAGTTACCTTAAATGACAACATATGTTTAAAGAAGGAAGGAAGAAAAAGCATTCCTTTCATTCTTATTCCCTATAGTTTTAATTTCTCCATTTTTTTTTAAAGATTTTATTGGGGAATTGGGGGAGGGGAACAGTGCTGGGGAATTGGGGGAAGAGGAACAGACAAGTTGCTGTCCTTTTGTTCTTCTGTCTAGTTGTGGAGGACATTGCTTCACTGGTCCATGTTGGTATTATTATCATCGCGCTCTTCCTGGGTGAGGCAGATCTGTCGCCGACCTCTGGACGGCCGCTCACGGCGGCTCTTGGCAGCTCACACTGGCTGCCAGCCACACACGGTAGCCCATGGCAACCCACTGCCACAGGGGCTGCAGCCTGCGCCGTCACCGGCGACTCACGGCAGCCCAGCTCCAGGTTGAGCTGTTATTCAACATCTTAGCTGTAGAGGGCAGTGTCACTGGACCCCATGTGGGATCCGAACCAGGGCCCTGCTGCTCAGAGCTGGAGTCCCAAGCCAGCTCTCAACCAACGCGCCACTCAGCAGGCCCTAGTTTCTCCATTTTTTATTTATATTTATCTTATAGCCATCCAAATGAAAACCCTCCAAAAATATGAGATAGCGCACAGCTAGTTGTAAAAAATATGTTTCTTCAAAATATGGCTTACATCATTGATGTAAGGTTCATAAAACCACTCTTTAAACAAACGTTGTGAAAATAACTAGTTAAGATATATAAATTAATACGAACCTGCAATACTGCTCTTTCCGGTAACAGTGAAATGTCACATTCATGAATCTCACCTACAAGAGAGACCTCAGACAGGTCTGGTTCAGGAGGAATGGATTGTTTTCCAGATCTGTTGAATTTTATCTTGTTTCTCCATTTCTTCAACTGAACTTCATGTTTTAACAGCTGCCATGAAAATAATTTACATTTTCCATGGAATTTTCATAAGGATTCAATGAAATGATATATATAAGCACAATGACAGCACCCATTAAACCTTATTTATTATTATCATCATCATTACATAAACTATCATTGTCCAGAGCATGTTTAATTCTCAGAACCATCAAAGCATTATAGACCATTTCCAATGGTTGTCATACAACACTGGTACAGGCAGCCACTTTGAAGGCATGGTCCAGCCTCCTGTTTTGTAGATGAGGAAGCAGAAGCCCACAGAATCAAGGCTCTTGTCATGATAAAACTGGTATTTGGGGGTGTGGAAGGGAGGTGGTTGGCATGGAAATAAAAAGAAGAGTCAGAAGGAAAGAATTTGGGGGTTTGCCTGATTTATCATTACAAGAAGTCCCCATTTTAACTTTTCATACCCTCCTGAAAACTGCATAATCAAGGAAAACGTCCTGAGAATAAAGAAATATTTCACTCACACACACACAGACACACACAATTTTGTTTTAATATATATATATATATATATATATATATATATATACACACACACACATATTAGAGCCTAAGAAAGAGCATGTGTTGGAGAACTAGCACACAGAAGTGTTTCCTTCTCCCAGCACACACCTGCCATCCTCACTCCACTAAAGTAAATGCAGGATGATTGTGAGGCCATGAAATCACATAGCTAGAAGAAAACATTTTCCTAAACATCCAATTAACTATATAACACACAACCATATTAAAGATAATACTGTTATTTTACATATAATATACATTATTACATATTAATGTATATCAACTACAGAGTGCAAAACATTATGCTCAGTGTATGAGGATGGTTAAGAGAACAATGCTATCTACTCTCAAGGGTGTTCAGTGTGAGGGGGAGTAAAAGGGGCAGGCTGGTATGTACAGTTACTTATTTCACCATTAGACAATTAATGATCAGGCATGGAGGGCTGGGGTCAAAATTGTAGTTTAGTATACAAAGTAGTGGACAACATGGAATGAGAAGGCTTAAAACAGTGGTACCCAAAGTACAAGTGTTTAACTAGCAAAGCTGAAAATGTAGTCCACAAAAGCCAAATGCTAGAGGACATCCTGCAAGAATGCCAGTTCAATACCAGTAGATGATAAACTTCTAGGACCAAAAACTATGCTTTAGGCCTCTCAGTATCCACTATGGGCTCCAGCACTGTTTCAAGTACTATGTGAGTATTAAATCTTTTCACACCCTCTTGGTCCATGTGTGGTATCATCAGTCTCAACATCTGTACCAATTTGGAAGAGGAGGCATTGATCCTGCCATCCACGGGGCAACCACAAAACAAAGGGTTTAATTTCTTCCTATTTTTCTCTTTTCTACTTATCCCAACTTTGTATTTATTTTCAAAGAATATCAATAACACATTACCTACTAAATACTGTAACTAAAAAAATTTCCAGAAGATTTATATGTCTAATCCCAAGCAGTTACTGTGAATACTCTAAAACATTAAATAATCATACACTAAAAGCTTAAGCAAACTAGAGATATTTTTAAGTTTGGGAGAGTTTGCTTGAGCCCTCTTTTTTAATTGCTTTAATTCCTACTGGGTGCCCCCATTAAGAATGAGCCTTTAAATTTAGCAATTTTAAAAATAATTTAATATTAAGATAATTTATTAAATTGAATGTTGAAAAATAATAAATAACAATCTTATCTAGAAAAAATCAATTTATTCCATCTTTATCATTTCTCTATTATAATCATATCAAATAGTTTCTCTTCCATTTTAGACATGTATATTCACTTGCTTAAACAAAAATCTTAATATCTTTATCAATAAATTTAAACAAAATGTTAAAAGATTTTTCCTTGATGTTCATAGTTGAAATGAAACAGAATTTATTAGGAAATGTTTTGGGTAGCTGAAGTGAAATTTAAATTATTAATTTATTAAAAGAACAAGGACCCCATCAAAAGTAAATAATATTCAGGATTTTAGTATTTTCTAGACATAGCATTATTATCTGAATCAACATCAACATAACAGCAAATTTTAGTTTCTAAAAAAATTAAGTTTCCAATGTACTTTACCAGCTCATCTTCTCTCTTTTTATACTTATATCTTGCTTTTTCCCTCCATTTAGTTAGGATGGTTATTAGCCTGGTAGAGTAGTATATCTGTTTTATCCGCAATAGTATATCTGAAGAAAATTTATTAGATTAGTGTATATAGTTGAAGATGTTTCCAAAAGAAAGTATTTAATATCTTATCATGTTTATAATATGAACCAATGTTGCGTCTGATGGTTTTGTTTGATTTTAATTATAACTGAAATTAATTACTTCATAAAGTAGTATAGTACCCCGGAGACTTTATTAACCTGTAAACATCACCTTTGTCCTTAGAAATTAAGATGAAATAAAATTTCAAGATAAATCATTTCATTTCTTTTTTCTATTTTTTTTTTTATAAAACCAGAACTTCCCAACTTATTCATAGAAATGCAATCATGAGGTAGTATTCTGATTTGGTTAAATGCCCTATGATTAAATAGATTGCTAAATATATATATATATATATATATATATATATATATATATATATATTGCTAAATATAACTAAATATATATATATAGATTTAACCAGGGGTCCAAAGCTTAAATACAGGGGCCAGGCCAGAAAGGAAAATGACTAAGGCAGGCCTGGGGACACCATTAACAGAGAGCAGTGGCTTCTTAGCTGCAACCAATTGCTTCCTCTCAGAGATAGAGGCACATTCCCCTTATGCTAAAACCTTTGGAGAATCCACTCTGACTGAGATACCAGTAATAGCCAATCAAAAGGAAATAATTCAGGGCCAGCAGAGTGGCTCAGTTGGTTAAGAGCTCGCTCAAGAGTTCGAGCTCTGAGCAACAGCAGTTTGATTCCCGGCCCGAGCTGAGCAGCCACTGAGCTACCAACAGGTGGCAGGATGGCTCAGCTTAAAAAAAAGGAAATGATTCTCTGATCTGCAGCAGTCATGAACAAATCAATATTTGATGAGCTGTATAAAATCTAAGCAAAAAGCTGAAGCTCTCTATCCCTGCTCCTAAGATCACCTAAGTGCACTGTCCACTCATTACAACTATTAAGGGTTTAAGTAAAAGAAAATGATTTTTACGTTTCTTCATGTATCCATTAAATGAAATATCTATAAGGAATACAGAGCTCTAAGAAAAATAGTCAATTTTGGTACCTATCTATAATATACCAGTTCTTTATGATGTGAAAAAGCTGATAGTAGATCCCTGTTTATATTTATATTAGTATGTACATCACAAATATATATATAGGATTTTATTTTAAATATGCCTGGCTTCAAAGAAACAAAAACTCATAGACACAGACAACAGTTTACTGGTTACCAGAGGGTAAGGTGGAAGAGGGGATGGTAGAAGAGGGAAAAAAGGGTCAAATATATGGTGATAGAAGGAGAAATGACTCTGGGTGGTGAGCTCACAATGCAATATTTAGATGATGTATTATAGAATTGTACACATGAAACATAATTTTAGGAACCAATGTTATCCCAATAAATTTAATTTAAAATATAGCTGGGTTTTGTTACAATAAAACCCTTTGAGACAAATCTCATTCAATACTTTAAATTAGTGGCTTTATATTTCATGACAATTTTCTAGATGTAAAAATAATAATAAATTATCTATTGGGTTGTCGGGAAAGTAATGACCCATTTTTGCATTGAAAAACATAGAAAAATACTCATGACTTTCCCAACGACCCACTAGTATAAACTATGCTTGACTATAAAGTTACTTGATTCTTTGAATACAGGAATATAAAAAATAATTGCTACTATGTAAGGATTTACCTTTAATTTTTTCTATTTGACCTTTCACATAAGAGTGCCAATGACGAAATACATATTTTTGAAGTCTGAAATTGTGATATTTCATGGCTCTTTCCATTTTTTCAGCCAGAAAGTGATTTTCATATATGCGAGGTTTTGCGATGTCTTTCCAGGTGCTATAGGCAGAAAATACAGAAAATATCATTTTGATGTTACGCCAATACATTACAAAATTGAAAGGAAGAAAAAGTAATAGCTCCTTTATCTCCTCAAAAGCCACAGCATAGAAAGAAATTGCTAAATTATGTTTATTGCTTTATTTCCAGCCAGTCCTTGCATTTCCTTTGAGCTTGCACTTCCCTTTTCTACATTTCTAAAGCCCAGAAAAATCTTAAATCCAAAAGTTTTCTCATAACCTATTTAGAGGCAAAACTAGGCCTGACCTAAACTAATTTTGCATCAAAATCTCTCTGGATCTGACACATGGCTGTTTATAGTCTTTCTTCATTTCACTTAGTAAGAATACACACACACACACACACACACACACACACACACACACACATATGCATGTATCTATGTTCAAATATGTTTGGTTTGGTTCCAGCATGTCACCCCAGACACTACTAAAGATGTTACATAATACACAGAATGTACAGAGAGTACCTTTCTAAGATTAAAAAAAAATTCTAAATCCCAAAGCATATCTGACTCTTAGGTTTTCAGGTAAGGGAATTATGGACCTATATTTTCAATTTTGAAGTTTTATTTAAAAAAAAGACAAAGTGATACCTTGAAGAAATAAAGAACATATTTTAACCAAGTACAGCCAATTAAATATTAAATAAACAAATAAATAAATGGCGACTTGATTAAATAGATAAAATCAGCCTACCTAGCAAAAGTGAACTTTTGTCATATAGAGACCATCAAGAATGAGAACACAAGGGCCTGCTGAGTGGCTCAATTGGTTAAGAATTCGCTAAGAGCTCGAGCTCTGAGCAACAGGGCCGCCGGTTCAATTCCCACGTGGGCCAGTGATGCTGCACCTGAGCTGAGCTGCTCCTGAGCTGCCAACAGGTGACAGGATGGCTCAGCTGGTGAGAGCACATGCTCCTAACAACAAGACTGCCTGTTCGATGGTGGGCTATGCCCACCCGCAGCTAAGACTGAACTTGGCACCTTGAGCTGAGCTGCCACCCTGATGACTCAGTGGATAGAGCGTGTGCTTTTAACAACAAGGCTGTTGGTTCAACTCCCACATGGGATGGTGGCTACACCCACCTGCAACTAAGATTGAACACAGCACCTTGAGCTTAGAGGTCATGAGCTGCCTATGGTCAGCCAGATGGCAACTGGAGACCTCCACAACTAAGATTGAAGAACAATAACTTGGCTGGTCCCCTTCCCCAATTCCCCAATTAAAAAAAAAAAAAGAAAGAAAGAAAGAAAAAGAATGAGAACACAAAGAGAAATAAATAGAATATAAAAATCACATTCTTACCAAAAGTGGGTTTTTACTAAATGTCCAGTGTAAAAAGTACATGCTTTTATCATCAATTCTGGAGTCATCTAAAATAAATAAATGAATGAAATAAACATTAGAAATAAATACAATGTACAGGCCACCTCTGGAAGTACACAGGAAAATAAGAGAAATGGTTGCGTCTGAGGAGCATAACTAGGCAGTAGGGAGACAGGAATAGACTGGAAGACCTATATATACCATTTATATATTTTGAAATTTTATTGTGTATTCCTACTACCTATTTTTTAAAAGTTAAAATCACAGCTTAAAAACTTCCCATTATATTGCACCTACTTTAAAGCATTTTAAAGTAGGGGCTACAGCACTATTATTTGTCAGCTTTATTAACTGTTGGGAATAGATTTTAGCCGTGTCACAAATAAAGACACATGAAGTCAAAAGTAACTCAGCAAGGCGAACTTGATTTCTGCAGAAGAGTGCGGAGCCACCATAAGCCCGTCTAAGAAGCACACTGAGTGGGAAGTCCACTCAGTTTTTATCCCTCACACAGGTTCCACTATGTTGTACTCTGTTGGTGAGAGTGTGACCTTACAATCTAAACCGATGGTTAATAAAAAGCAAGATCTGCCTAGTTACAAGATTAGGTAAGCTTGAAAATGAGGAACTATTAGACAATAGTGAGAAAGTACATTTTTAACTGGAACTACTAAACAATAGTGAAAAAGAGAAAGTATATTTTTATTTTTTATTTTTCATTTTTATTTTTTTAAAGATTTTATTGGGGAATTAGGGAAGGGAAACAGTGTTGGGAAATCAGGGAAGGGGAACAGACAAGTTGTGGTCCTTCAATCTTAGTTGTAGGTGGGCCTAGCCCACCATCCCATGTGGGAGTTGAACCAGCAGCTTTGTTGTTAGGGGCATGTGCTCTCACCAGCTGAGCCATCCACCCACCTGTTGGCAGCTCAGCAGCAGCTCAGCTGGGGCGCAGCTCACTGGCCCATGTGGGAATCGAACCGGCGACCCTGTTGCTCAGAGCTCGCACTCTTGAGCAAGCTCTTAACCAGCTGAGCTACTCAGCCAGCCTAGGAAGTATATTTTCAAACTTTGCTGTCTTTGACAGAAAAGACTAGGACCTTTTCTAACATTAAAAGGCATATAGAGTTGTGGGTTGGCTGGTCACTGCGTCACTACTAAACTGAAAGATTTTGCTTTCTTGCGAATATAACATTAGATTTTTACTTTAAAAAAAAGCATACAGGAATGCCTCAGTTACCAGGCAGAAATAGAAAACCACACAAATTAAAGGTCTATATGGGGGAATATACTGAAAACGATGCAAATTTATCACTCCAACTATTCACAATAATACACATTAATACGTGGAAATGGCAGACAATTGCTGAAATTGTACCTTCTGCCAATTCTTTAATATTATATTAACACATTTATTACATGTACATGGCTACTGTAAAGTGCTAATGGTGTATGCTTTTTCTTATGTTATTGCCACCCTCTTTACCATATAAATATACAAACATGTGATCACATCTATTTGACATAGAGATAAGTTTGGTTCAAATCTAAACCAATCACTCAGAATTCTGAATTCCACTTTTCTAAGGCAGTCATATATCACCTTTGCACATTGCTGTAAATGCTTTGTTAATAGATACAGCAAACACATGTTAATCATCGATTTATTTTAGGCATACAACAAAGACCCTATTCTGCTTTGTGTTTAATGACATTGGGAAATCCTCACTTTTGATGAGAATTAGATACAATTTATGCTTATGGTGAAAGAGAATGTAAATCACTGAAGTCATTCTTTACTAAATTCTGATTTTTATGAGGGAAAGGAATCCAGATGAGTGAAGTTTTGGGGATACCATAGCAGGAAAGATAAAACTAATGTGAAGTACCTAAACTATATAAATCATGACATTTCATCCCAAAAATCTTTTAGTATCTATCACTAAGCACATTTTCTTCACAACTACAATTCTATTAGATGATTCATAGTAATTATTTAATGTCATCTAATACCCACTCCATATCCAAATCTCTGGAATTGTTTCCCCAAAATGTCTTATACAGTTAGTTTGTTCAAACTAGGATCTAAACTAGGGCACATATTTGCATTGACAACTCGCTTTATGTGAGAAATTTTCCACCTTTGTTCATTAACTTTTTCTGTATTTTTCAACATTTAATGAATATAAGGGGCAAGGAAGGGATGGTCCCAACCTAAATCTGATGAATTCAGCTATCTGAGCATCTCTAATGAATTTTTTTAAAATATTTTTTATTGGGGAATTGGGGGGATGGGAACAGCGCTGGGGAATTGGGGGAAGGGGAACAGACAAGTTGCTGTGTTTTTGTTCTTTAGTCTAGTTGTGGAGGACGTTGCTTCACTGGCCCAAGTTGGCACCATCATTGCGCTCTTCCCGGGCGAGGCAGATCAGTCGCCGGCTTCTGGACTGCCGCTCACTGCGGCTGCTGGCTGCTCACGCTGGCTGCAGTTTCATTTCCATACCCCATGGCAACCCACTACCACAGGGGCTGCAGCCTACGCGGTCGCTGGCGACTCAAGGCAGCCCAGCTCCAGGTTGAGCTGTTGTTCAGCATCTTAGCTGTAGAGGGCAGTGTCACTGGCCCTCATCTGTGGGATCCGAACCGGGGCCCTCTGGCGTCCCAAGCCAGCTCTTAACCAACATGCCATTTGGCCGGCCCATTTCTATTTTTTATTTTCCTTGTTCTTTTTCTCATTTTTTTCTTTAAAAGTTTTTTAGTTAGTATAGTTAGCATTGTTAGCACATTTAGTACAGTTAGCATTGTTTACTATCACTTGTTAGCATCATTAGTAAGTGTAGTTAGCATTGTTAGTACTAGTTCACATGCTTAGCATAGTTAGTACTGTTTGTTAGCATAGTTAGCATTGATAGACAGTATTATCTGTCAGTGTAGTTAGTAGGTCACCATGTTGCATGAACTTACAGCCATCTCTGCTGATGAGGAACCAGGTATTGGCCACTACAAGCTCCTGAACACCATTGGCCAGGGAAGCTTTGCCAAGGCGAGGTTGGCCCGGCACATTCTGACGGGGACAGAGATAGCTATTAAAGTCATTCACCAGCAGGGCTTCTGTGGACACTTAGAATTTCACTGCCTGAGGGTACTGAACCACCCAAACATTGTGAAGTTATTTGAGGTTACTGAAACTCAGAAAACACTGTTCCTTGTAATGGAGTGTGTGCATGGATTGGACATGTACGATTACCTGAAAATCCATGGCCTCCTGACTGAGATTGAGGCCCAAGGTATTTTCAGGCAGCTGGTATCCGCCTTGGAGTACTGCCACCAGCGGGGCATTGTACACCAGGACCTGAAGCCAGAGGACATGCTGCTGGATTCAGAAAGGAACGCAAAAGTTACAAGCTTTGGCCTGAGCAAAGAATTCATCAGCTATTAGCTGAGCACGTTTTGTGGCACCCTCCCTTATGCCACCCCAGAGCTCTTCCTGGGCCAAGGCTATGACTGCCCAAAAATAGACATGTGGAGCCTGGGAGTGATGCTCTATAAGATGGTCACAGGGACCCTGCCATTCATGGGAAAAGGCTTCAGTAAGCTATGGGAGCTGATACTGGGAGGGCATTTCAAATTCACCTCTTACATATGTTTGGACTGCAGAATCATCTAAAGAAATTAATGACGGTCAACCCCAGCGACAGAGAAATGCTAGAAAACCTGATGAAGGACTGATAGCTAAACTTGGGCCAAAAGGAGGAACTCAGGCCTTACACGGAGCCACCCTGTGAAAACATGGACCTCTGGGTAACCCAGAGGATGATGAAAATGGGGTTTGAGAGGGAGCATATCGAGGACTCAATGGCACACAGGAGTTACGACAGACTGATGGCCATGTAACTGATCCTAAGCACGAAAAAACCCGAGGTAAAGGTCCACACCATCAAAGTAAGGCCCTTCCTTTCCTCAGACTTGAACAGCCCCGGGGCATCCCCAATCCAAAAGGTTCAGCCAGAAGGCCAGAAGGCCAACGAGCCTGCCAGTTCACTAGTTAGCCTGCATTCAAGGAACACCACTCCCAAATACAGCCTGGAATCCAGCACCAGCTTTCCCCAACCCAGCCCGAAGCTGAGGACCAGCCCTCCACAATCCAGCCCGAAGCCAAGGACCAGCCCTCCTCAACCCAGCCTGAAGCCGAAGATCAGCACTCCACAACCCAGCCTGGAGTTGTGGACCAGCTCTCTCCAACCTACTCCAGAGTCAAGGACTGCCACACCCAGCCTAGCCCCACAGCGTGGCCCTTGGGGGTCCTGCTCCACCCACAGCACCAAACGCAGCAGCAGTAGTGGGGTCCCCGAGGGAACAAACATGAAAAACTCCCTCCATTCTGGGCATCCTGATGGTGTGACCCCAGCCTCTTCCTCGGGCCACAGCCAGGGCTGTCAGCGGGTGGCTAGGAGGTTCCTGACCCTTATTTTAAGTCACCTCTTGGCCATCCACCAAGAAGCAACATGTGAAATGGAACCAAGTAAAGCCAAAATAATGTTTAAATTGTGGACGGCCAAGGCAGGGCCACAGTCAAATATTCTGGGAAGGTCAAGCCGCTCTCCCTGCATATTGAATACTGAACTCAAAAATGCTGAGCGCCAGGGAGGCCGGCCACATCGTGCAGGAGATCAGCCAGAGGCTGGACACAAACAGCTGCAGCTGGGAGCAGTGCAAGAAGTACACGCTTGTGTGAAGGACTGGGTCCGATGGACAATGAAGGAGTGCAAACTGCCCCAGCATTCTCTGCACAGGATTCAAATCAGGATAGTACACGAATGTCTGTGTGGCCTTAAGAAGCATTGTACCCAAAATACCTGGTGAGCTTGGTGAACGGCCTGGAGCTCCTTGGGAGACAAGAGGAGAGGCTGCCCTCACGGCATGTCCACCCCTCACCCCCACCTTGGTGAAACTTCAGAGACTGGACTGTTTTTCCTGGGGCCCTTGTCCCCACCCTTGCTGTGGGGTGTGGGTGATTCTTATTAAGTACATACTGGGTTCTTCCAAATCTTGTAATAAACTGATGCTCCAGAAAGATGTCTTAGACACTCTGTTTTGCACCTCCCTGCACAGAGTTGGAGCTGTGCATCCTCCAGGTGGAGAAGCGTGTAGTGATGGACTTAATCAGGACAACTAATGAAAAAATGACTGAAGACAATGGTCACGGCAACTCCCAATAGTAACGAATGTGGTTCCAAAGGGAACAGGCTGTGAGCCATAAGTTCCCAGAAGAGGGGGAATGCCACACCCTTCAGGGCCAAATAGAGAAGCAACCGGATTGCTCAGGAGGCAGAGGGAGCATCTGTGAGAGGTGTTCCTTCCTGGGTGCTCCATGGTGTCAGCAGGAACCATCTCTCTCCTTACCTATTGGCTTTGCTTCCTTCCCTCTGTGATGGTGTCATTCTCAGGTCCTCTGCTCATTTTTCAATTGGATTGTTTGTTTCTTTGGTGTGGATTGTAATAGTTCTTTATAAATTGTGGATATTAACCCCTTATTGAATGTATCATTGGTGAATATTTTCTCCCCTTCAGTAGGTAGTCTTCATTTTGTTGATAGTTTCCTTCATTGTGCAAAAACTTTTTTTTTTTTTTAGCTGAGCCCTCCTGCCACCTGTTGGTAGCTCAGCAGCAGCTCAGCTCAGCTCAGGCTGGAAATTGAACCGCTGTTGCTCAGGGCTCAAACTCTTGAGTAAGCTCTTAACCAACTGAGCCACTCAGACGGCCCAAAAACTTCTGTTTGATGTAGTACCATTTGTTTATTTTTTTTGTTTACCTTGCCCAAGGAGATGTATCAGAAAAAATACTACTAACAACACATCAGAATGTTTACTATCTATGTTTTCTTCTAGGAGTTTTATCATTGTAGGTCTTATATTTAAGTCTTTAATCCATTTTGAATTTATTCTTTTATATGGTGTAAGAAGGTGGTCTAGTTTCATTTTCTGGCATGTATCTGGCCACTTTTTTTAATAGACTGTCTTTACCCCACTGTATATTCTTGCCTCCTTTGTCATAGATTAAATGACCATATAGACGTGGGTTTATTTCTGGGCTCTCTAATCTGTTCCATTGATCTATGTGTCTGTTTTTATGCCAGTATCCTGCTGTTTTGATTACTATAGCCTTGTTTGATATCAGGTAGTGTGATACCTCCAACTTTATTCTTCTTTCTCAAGATTGCTGTGGTTATTTGGGGTCTTTTGTGGTTCCATATAAATTTTATATATATATTTGATAGCGATTGCATTGAATCAATAGATTGCTTTGGGTAGTATGGACATTTTAACAATATTAATTCCTCCTATACACGAGCACAGTGTATTGTGATAGCATTATTTTAAAAGTCATATAAGGCAGTGATCTCTTAGACATATTGAGTGAGAAAAGCAAGAAGCAGAAGACTATATATAATCTACTATTTCTGTGTAAGCAGTCAAAAAAAGAGGAGAATACAACGTATTTGCTCATATTTTTCAAAACAAACAATGGAAGAAGATAAACTAAAAATTAGTAAAATTGGTTACCTACAGAAAGGAATGGAATAGGGAGCATAAAGAGGCAAGAATGGAATCAAGGGCCAGCCGAGTGGCACGTTGGTTAAGAGTTGGCTTGGGACGCCAGCTCTGGGCTGCAGGGCCCGGTTCGGATCCCACATGAAGGCCAGTGACACTGTGCCCTTTGCAGCTGGGATGGTGGACGGCGGCTTGACCTGGAGCTGGGCTGCCGTGAGTTGCCAGCAACAGCGTGGGCTGCAGTGGGGCTGGCCGGCAGCGGGCGTGAGCGGCCGTCCAATGGCTGGCGAGCAACTGCCTCAGCCGGGAAGAGCGCAATGATAATACCAACATGGGCCAGTGAAGCCACGTCCTCCACAACTAGACTGAAGAACAAAAGGACAGCAACTTATCTGTTCCTCTTCCCTGATTCCCCAATAAAATCTTAAAAAAAAAGAAAGAATGGAAGCAATACTTCTCTGAACACTCCTCATTTTATTCTTTTGATTTTGCTGCCATGTAATGTTATACATAATTGAAAGAGCATAATTATATCAAAAAAGAAAAAAAAGTGACCATCAACACACAAAAAAAGAATTAATTTAGGTAACAAAAAAAAATGTATTGGTTTTACTGAAAATACCTGGTAGGACATATACATCTTAAAGGCAAAAAGAATTGCATAAATTTTCTTGAACTGCATTCAGTAGTATTACGGTTAGTGGTCTTGTGGTTTGTTATTCCGAAACCATTACACGTGTATGGTAGAATAAAACTAATAAGCAATTATGGTAATGTCTATAGGAATCCAGATTTATTAGAAGTGGGTCAACCCGACCATGGATGCCTCCTATTAAGATGCACTAGGAAGAATACAACAACCCGTATGCAGCATGCTTGTCACCAAGAGAAAAAAAAGAACCTGAGTATTAAGTTTGTAGGTCTAACTACAAACTTGCAGAAAATACAAGAAACAGAACAAATGAAACAATAAGAATGTGGAACATTTTACATGACAGATGACCTGTTTTCTTCAATAAGTAAGTGATATGGAAAAAAAAATAAGAAAGGAGAACTATTGCAAATTACAAGAGACATTAGATACATAACAACCAAGCCAATATGTGGACCCCGTATGGATTTTGACTGAGAGCCAGATGTAAAAAAATGGCATTTTTGAGACAACTGTGGAAACCCGAATATGAACTGAATATAGAATTTATATATCTGAATATAATCAGCAGTAGGTTATATTCAGGAATTATTGCTAATTTCATTGCATACACAATGGCACTGCGGTATATTCTCTAAAAATGTCATTTCCTGTTAAAGATGCACACTGAAGTATTATTGGTAAAATAATACAATTCCTGGGATTTGTTTTCTAAGATTCCAGCAAAAAAGGGAAAGGGGAAAATAATCAATAAGATTGACAAATTGAGGGTCATTGTTGAAGCTGACAGGGGATCTTTATGCATTCTCTCTATTTCTGGGTTATGTTTACATTTTTCCATTATAAAAAGACTTTTTGAATGTTATAGATGTCTTTTCTTCTTGTAATTAGGATGCCCATCTGGAGATTTAATTTCCTAAGAAATGAGAATCAGGTCTGTGAAGTTAATTTCCTTCTTACAATGGTTGATTCTTTCATCTTGGAACACACAGTTAAACTATCTATCTACTGTTATGAGAACAGTTCCTATTTTTTAACTATTTGATTTACAGTCTCCTATGCTAAATCTTCTCTGTTTGCATAAATGGAAACAAATATAGATTTATAAATAAGCACAGACAGGCGGTCTTGCTGTGTGCAGGGCCGTGTAGTGTGAGATCATAAAAGTAACTGCACACAGAAACCATGCAAAGCAATCTTAATAATCAACAGGGAAAATTACAATTGTTTGTGGCCTTTAAAATGTTTTGTCAAAACATTAAAAACTCTCTTACTGGCAATTATAACTGTATAGAAAAGAAAAATTACAAAAGGCAAAGCTAATATTTGTTTAGAATATGTAATTTAAAATATTAGAAACTGCATATTAGTATCTTTTCTCTTTGTAAAAACAAAAACAAAAACAAAAACCCAGCTTTTCATTTATCTCTGAGGGTGAAGGAGAAATGAATTGATCTACACCCATCTTAGGCTGAGCCGTCTAACTAAGCAACCCTTGGCACCTGGAGATTTTCATTTTGCAAAGTCACACCTAGTTTCTATTTTTCCTAACTTATGAAATGGGCATCTTTTCTATGCTTGATAAATTGTCATGCTCCTTTGTAAGTTAGGATCAGCTGCCAACATTTTATCCTCTGCGCTTTCACGTAAAATCTCTGAAAATTCCTTTTCTAATAAATCTTCATGTTTGATGTAGCTACAATGTCTCTTGGAATTCTATGCATTTAAAAAAAAACTTTTATAGGCTTCTAGCTAGATGTTGGACACAATCTGATTGCATTTTATAAGATCGCTTTCAAAACACAGTAAAACCTTGGATTGTAACTTGGTTTGTGAGTGTCCTGCATGATGAGCAAACATTTCTAATACATTTTAATGTGGTAAATGAGCAATGTCTTGCAATACAAGTAGTTTGTTTCAGGAACAAATTATGCTCACAAACCAAGGTATTACTGTATTAACAATGAGGTTTACCCCCTCTAGATCAGTGGTGTTTAACAATTTTAGTATCTTATAACAATGGTTTTCAAGCTTTTTTCAAATGACATTATGCTCAAGCAGAACGATTCTACCACGTAAGGAGTGAAAATGGGGGACCTAGCATCCCATCCCCTGAGCCCTCCTCCCTCAGCTCCTGAGGTTGCCCCCAAACATCTCCAGGGACTTGGCTGGCAGATATCTGTACTCCATAGTAAATCAAAGGTCTGTGGTTGATAAAGTCATTTAGACACCCACACACTATGATGCACACCAACAAAAGTCAGACATGTGGGTTCTTCCCAGTGTATTAGTGCCTGAGAATCATCCCAGGCTTGGCAAGAAATATCCCATCCCTCTATTTCTGTCTTCCTGTTACAGACCACTGATTAGAATCCAGTGTTACTCTCCACCCATCCTTCTAAACAATGCTTCAGATTGTTCCTCGCTGTCATCACTCATCTTGACTGTGGCTTTGATTCCACTTTCCAAGGTCCAACCTCACCAGCAACTCCCCAGCCCTGCCTGCACCTACGGAGACATCAACTTGGATCTGCAGGTATCACACATGGTCCCAAATAGTTTAATTTGTGTCAGTATTTCTCTCCCCAAATGCCTTTTGGTATTTAAGTTCCTCTTAGATACACAGTCTTTGTTCTAAAAGCCTCTGTGTCCTGAATGACTTCCTTGCTCTCTTTACAGGATCAAAACCAGCTGTTGGAGCCGGTTGTTCCTTTCATTAATAATCGGTCTGGCTTTTCACTTAGATCTCATTAATGTTTTGGCCATATTGTCATGAGCATAATTCCTGGGCAGATGGCAGAGAGAACGAAGGGGGGTGGAATACAAAATAAAGTAGATTAGAAAGCAAAGAAAATATCCTCCCGTAAAGCTTTCCATAATGCTATTTTTATCATTATAAAGATGTAAGAGAGGAGGGGAAGGAGAAAGGGGGAAGAGGAAATTTGAATATAAAGATTTTATTAGAAAGAGGAAGAATGAATGCCTGTCTCAATGCTTCTTGGAAATTTGGGATGGTGGGGTGGTTACCATGAGTGTGGCTGCACGTGTGTGTGTGCGTGTGCGTGTGCGTGTGTGTGTGTGTGTG